GTTGTATATTTACTTGAAATAAAACGTTAATGCAACAACCAAGCTCTATGATAAACGTGATGACTTTGACTTTTCTATCATCAATTTCCCTTACTTATGCAGCATTATTATGCTTCCTGTCAGTTTGTCTCTATATAACCCATACCCTACTATTGTCGCATAGTGGTCCTAAGGATTTATACAGCGTAAGCATACTATGCCGAAATAGAGCACGGCTTTATTTACTGAATAAAATTCTTCCATGCACACGCCGGGAATCGAACTCACGACCAAGCGGTTGCCAGTCCGATGCTTTATCGATTACGCCACAGAGACGATCACTGATTGGAGGGATTTTATTACATATATAAACTTAATTTATACAATTGACACAAGAAGGAGATAATAGACAAATATCATTTGAAAACAGTTATATTATTCTAAGGAATCTTAGATAAATGTGTACAACAAAGTTTCAAACTAATTACATACAGATCGTTAGATGAACTAATGTCATGGGGTCATTAAAACGCTTTTTAATATAGCGCTTGATTGAAGGATGTAAAAGAAAAATATCAATGAGAATCGACGTTTGCAAACAAACCAGTCTTACTTACACAACGGAAAATAAAGATGAGTTTCTTTGGTATAGAAAATCCCGGCTTATTTAGAGAAAATTCTAGTAATCAAAATAACTAAGCATGCAACCAATTTTAGCGTGAAGATTTTGAATCAGTTCTTGCAGGTGCGTTGTGTTAGCACCGATGTTTTCAGGAAAAAGTCAAATGGAGTGCCGCATAAATAATTACAACAGTCAGCATAATAATAACAATAGTGTTGCATTATGCATGTACTATGCCTAAATAGTAGGCAGGGTTTGACACATAGTGCACTCGCCTCCGGCTCGTGCACCATGTGTCAAACCCTGCCTACTATTTAGGCATAGTACATGCATAATGCAACACTATTATATAAATGTACCTTATTCACCTGCAAACGGAATTTATTTATCTCAGTTGATTCGATATGCAAGAGCATGACCTAATTATAAACAATTTCTTAAATGAGATAAATTTTTGACAAACAAGTTGATGAAACAAGAATTTCAGCTGTCTCATGTAAAGTCATCATTTCGTAAGTTCTATGGTCGATGCAATCACCTTGTCAGCGAATACAATTAGTCAAATGCTGACTGACGTTTTTCATACTAATTGTTAGTCTCTTATTTATACACTGAATTGACAATGAATTCTTCCGTTATTTCCCAATCATGACAAGGAGCACACGGCGGTTGTAACCAGTCGGCAGAGGAAACTCACTCCTCCATGGCACCTGATCCCACTTTCGATGTTTTGGAGGTCTTTGTTTGTTCTGCTTCCGTGTTTTTTTAAAATTGACTTTTAAACTTGAATACTTTTCGTTATCTTAATATATTTCATTCCGTTTCTAATAGGATTTACACACTCAGCCATAAACGATCTCATTAGTATGTCTCCTCCAACTCCGTTACAAGGGGATAATTAATCAAGAAAGGTATCAATTACTTAAATGTACTAAAACTTTTAAACTTCATTTAATTTAGAGTGTTCAATACCGCATATAAAATTTCACAAAGTAAATAATACAACCATTTAATTTGTTCTTACCTCCGACGACTTGACCTATAATACAATAAAAAAAAAGGGACTTCCTTGTTTTAAACACTCGGGAATGTCCACATCCTGTGATTGTTCACCAGTAATACTAATTTGGCAAAAAGTTAACTAACTTGAAATGAAAGACGCCTGTTACGAATTTGGATGCTTTACTGACTACAGATGAAAAAGAAATAACTTACATGTAATAAATCATGATAGATCAGGATGACTTAAGATGACTGGTCGATTGTATGTTTTTTTTACGTTCCATTAGATTTTTTAAAACAAATTCTCGAACAGAGACGTTACTAGATATCGCTGAAGGATTTCATATTAAGGCCTAAACTTAGCACTAGTGAGCAAAGGTTTTTGCAAAATAGATGTTTAAAAGGACAGTTTACCTTATTTATACATGTAGATATTTACGTCAAAAGAACACTTTACTTAAATTATTTGTGTGTCCTACAAGCTGCGCGGCAATCGGGAATCAAACCCAGATGTCCCACCCCTAAGCAGACAAATTAGGATGAAAGTTATAATTCACCAATTGTACTGCGAATTTTCCAAATTTAAACGCCCACAGCCAATCCCTCTCAAATTCAATTTAAGAGTTTGATAAATATTTAGAGATGTGTTTGAACAAAAAAGCATAAAACTAAAATAACATGAGAAGACAAATGCTTAAAAAGTCAAAAAAATTAAAATTCACATCTCTATATGAGAAAAAAAATCTATCATAAAGAGACATGAGAGAAAAGCATATAATCAATCTAAAAGAAATTAGAGGAAGAAATGCAGGTAATTTATGATAAAACAAGTAAGCATAATTATACGCCAAAAATTATGTGAATTACACTGAAAATTAGCCACACAAGACTCCTCAAAAAGCCTATTATTAAGAGTACGTACTTTATTTCACTACATAATTTACACTGCAATTACAATATACTTATGTATTTTGAACTTGATACTACTCAGAAATAAGCTTGTTTAATATTAGTTCACGTCGAAAAATGGCGTGTTTAAATATTGTATCAACAATCTAGTAGCGTGAAGTCAAAATTTTAATCATTTGTATACTTGTTTAAAATTCATGATTGTCCCTTAAACCTTGGATAGTAAAACTGCAAAATTACACCATTTTTTTAATATCAGAAATATACAATTAAATAAAAAACATGACTACACTGTCAATTTTACAAAACAGTATTTTTGTTCAGATGAAAATTTCTAAAAAAAATATATCTGCATTATATTTTTTTCATCAGTTTGGTTTCATCATTCCATAGGAAAGGTGCAAACGTATTTAGCAAAATATTAACCTGTTGCTGATTTTAAGGTCCTTCTCAAAAATCCCCAGACACCACAAGAGTATTTTTTTCTTGCACCTTTTTTGTTCGTACATGTACGAAGTATAATGTATTTAAAAAAAAACAAACTCCTACATAAGAAGAAAGAAGGAAACGCTACGGCCTACACAACGCAGCATTGAGATACATTATTTTTCTCATATATTCCAAGCTTTCTGATTGGCTCAAACTTGATCACATGATCAAGTAAATAACAGCATATCGACTTGAGATACTATTTATAGATTTTATCTACCTAATGCTTCTTAAAATGGAAATATGTTTCTTTAAAACAACAATAGTACTGAATTCAGAAGAGCTAATATAGTTTTCTTTAAAAAAATTACATACGCTGACACCTTTTTGTAATAGTGATATTCTGTAATAATTAGTAAGACAAAACAATACCTTGAGAAGGATCTACTTAATATCAAAACATAATAGATATGTTTTTCAAAAATTAATTTAAAAATTAATCAAACAAACTTAGCCTTTAAAAAAAAGGAAATCCCCATAACTACTTTATCGTTAAAAAGAAAACACACATTACATTAAGCAGATAAATCTATTGTGTTCTCTAGTCTGCCAGTGCTCAAAAAAGACAGTAAAGAAAACTTCTGGTGATTTTTTTATTAACTATAAAAAAAAAAATAATATAGCAAATATAGCCCTTTAATTCGTTAAATCTGTAGATATATCAAAAAAGCATATCGACCTTGCACTTCGTGCTTGGTCGATTTGCATTTCTGCAAAGTTGATATATCTATGGATCGACCTCATCAAAAAGCTATATTTATACGAAATCAACTTCACGTTTTTATAATATTGTCAATAGCTACTTTCACTCATATGTCGACTCGAGATTTCCATGTGAATTGGAACATGTATGGTTTTTCAAAAGCATTCTGTCGTTTTAATGGCGTACCTTATTAACAAATATAACCTTTTTTGGTTGCATTTCATTTAACCTACAGTATTTCCTATCAAATGGTAGGTCATTATCTTGTAATTGATTATGAATACTTATAATCAGTCTATTTTACAAATACAAAGGACTGAACGCTTGTGTGACCGATAAACAGGGATACATACTCTTCCTAGGCATCTTAGATCACATCTGGAACTTTACTGTCCCACTTTTAGCCCTGTTAACAATTTTGTATTGTTTTATTTGTTTCTTTTTTCGTCAATCGACAGTGTTCTTCTTGTTTACCTTTTCATTGAAAATACTTTTTATAATGACCTTTCAAATTAGATTTTTCCTGCGTGTAACTTTGACCATCTATTATATATTTAGTCTAGCGTAAGGACTGTGAAATAAACACTTTTTAAAAAATCTACATTCAGTCCTAAATAATATAAAACGTGAACATGAGTACTTTGTGACTTCCTGTTTTAAGGAGCAACTTTTCATTTAATTTCCCTTTATTTACGCGCTTGCTTATTCATCCTTGTCCATACAAGGGCATTCACCTCATCATTTGTCTCTGTCGTAGATTCTATGTTCACCTTTCTCCAAGTTATTTTTAGATGGACCATAGCTCCGCATTTATGATTCTTATCCTATAAGGTTGCTGCAGAATGCTTCTCTTATTCTTTTGTTCTGTGTGTTTATTCCATGTAATATTTAACTGGATGCTTTGGAGAATGTTTCCAAGTCCAACATCATTTCTACTTTTTAATGGCTCTGCTATAGATATTGAAATGTTTATTTCTATAGCTGTGAGCTCAACATTAATATTTTAGAATTATCTTATATTCTCTCCATTACACTTGTAATTCCATTTCAGAAAACTCGGAGTAATCATTGTAGCAAACTGTAATTAAATACTTACAGAGGTTTGCATATCATTATCAATTATAGTTTACTAAATGCAACAAAGCAAATTTTTTGGGGGAAATTGAGAAATTAACATTGTATGATTGTATGAAAGTGTAAATTCTGATCTTATCTATTTCAACATATAGCCTGGCTTTACCCATCGGAAAAATGAGAAAATTGAATTTGAAGTTCCTGAGATTTTGATTTTTTCTCGTAATTTGGGAAGCGTGTCAGATCTTTATTACCATTGCCGAATACAGGTCACCAGGCCTCCAGGTTTCTTATCCATATGACTCGCAATTTTCACTTCTCGTGAATGGCGCTTGTCAAAGAACTTGAAAAGATTGTATACATGGTGCTATTTATACATGTTATTACCTGACTACCTGACTTACCACACTAAAACGGTGTATATGACTGAGTCATGTATTCTCGACCTTTTTTAATTACCTTTTTTTGCCAATATTCAGTGCTTAAGATTGTTCATTATTACTTGTTATAAGAAAATCTGAGTCGCGTTACTTCATATTTCCGTATGAAGCAAAGTCTACAACAATCAACATGCTATATAATTCTATAGCTATTCACACTGGTTGTTTTTGAATATTGCACAACTCATTCTCTAAACTACTGAACATATATAAAAGCAACTTCGGTCTATGAAAGATAACTAGATTCCTTAAAAGTCCAACCATAATATCTAGAACTATCTGCTTCTGAATGTCCTTGAAAGTTTCAAATATTTGAAATGGAATGATAAAATGTGATTCTGATTTACAAATGTCACTTCAGGGTACATCGAGTTGAAGGCACATCAAATGGTGCTACTTTAACTTCTACTGGAACTGAAGAACTTCTGAAACAACAAAAATATTCATGATTGTAGGACAGCACTGGGTATGGAATTCAGACATTAAATTTTTACACTGCTTTAAAAAATTCTTTTACTAGTATTTAAAATTTAAAATCTTACGAAAAATATTTAAAACTCAAATGATTTTCCTTTTTTTTTTCGCCAGCACTGATCTCCCATATGAGAATGATGTTTTCCTATGGTTAAAGACAAAGTAGTTGGAAGAATGTTTTGGATACTTATGGAGCAAGAAAATGCTGAAAGTTCTTGATGTTTTTGTACAAAAAAATTATATATGTTAGCCTGTGACCAAGATTCCATTAAACCCCCTTGAAATCATTGCTTTACATATGCCTAGATCTCGAGTCTTGATATTATGTTATAATGATTTTTAAGAGGACTGGAAATTAAAGTATGTTCTATCATAGACTCATGAAAATTTTATTTAAGTTTCAGGCACGTAATGTCGGATGTGGGTAGGTGGATCTCTTTTTACTACTTATAAGGTTTATTGAAAATGCCCTCCCTTTGTAAAAGTATGGTCAAATCAGGGTAATGGGGTAATGTTTGAATAAAACATGCTTCTGAAAAAAGTTAGAATCTTGTCCTACCTGCCACCACCAAATAATTTTTTCCACATTTTTTTTTTTGGCTTGTCAAACATTTTCAGGTTAGCCAATTCCTCGTTTCAATAGCAATGATTCTTCCTCAGAAATAACATGCAGATTTAAATTTGAATATACAGTTACCTGCATTTGTATAGAGTAAATATTATACAAACCTTCTACTATATATCGGTAAAGCAATGTCAGATGCACGGAGCATTATTACGTAGGTTTCTCCTCTACAGATACTGCTACTACAAACAATAGCGATCTTTTCATCCTGTTCGGTCTGAACTAATTTAAACTTTCCAGCTCCATTGTTGGAAACGCTTTGGATGTCAAATATTATTTCACCGTTTATACCAACGTCGTTATCTGAGGCAGAAATCTGTATATAGGTAAGTATTGATATATTATATATATTTTAAAAGTATTTCTAACATAAATAAATTTAATTAGAACAAGATATTACTTTAAATTTCATTTTAATTGAACATGGTATCATTGTTAATATATAACTGTATATCGAATGAGGCATCTTTGAAATTTAACATATCAGTATCCACTTTCCATCTTTGCAAAACACAAAAAACAAATAACAAAAATAAAGCCGAACGAAAAGCGCATCAAATGGTTCAGATTTAAAAATAGCAAATCATTAACCACAACAAAAATTTACCATTGGCATTGCCTTTCATTTCTGAAAGTTTCCGAAAGAGAATCATTCTTACAATAAAAAGAGTTTTAGCAAACCTGTATCAATAATTTGTTGCTTAACGAGTAGTCCCCTTCTAGAACATTAACAAAGTACAACGGTGCAGTAAAAACTGGGGAGTACAAATTTGATGCACAGCTGTCGTTTGCATAAGGAGATTCTTTAATGTTTATAACCAATGTCGCTTGTCCGCGTAATGGCGGGGTTCCTCCGTCAGTTGCTGTTATTTGTAACTTTTGCATGAAAAAAAAAAACAACACATGAAGTTGTTTTATTGAAAGTATTGTCATTTAGTGATATTTAAAAAAATTGAGATCATGATTAAGCTTCATACATATAATATTTATATATAAGATAAAAAAAAACCCATTGGAGTGATTACATTGAATTGGCTAATTCCAGTTCCTCGTATTGTCTGTGTGAGAAAAATTCGGCCAGAATCTGGATAAATGTAGAAATATCTCTGTGCAGTTGTATCATTTGTTATACTGTATTTAATTTGGTTGTTTGGGGCCTACAAATACAAAATGGAAAGTCTGTACATTTTAATTTGGACATGGAAGAAAAAGAATCATGAGTAAATATGAGTGAAAAAAGGACTCCATATGCAGGTGATATTAGTATTTTTCTACATAATGTTAGTAAGTTGATGATAGAAAGGTTGAGAGTCCCCACGCTCATCGTTTAAAATGGGTGCTTATTTTGTTGGATACCCAAGAGAGAATGCTCGGAGTATGACCAATTTATAAACTTAAACAGACTGCTGACATATAATTTCATTGTACTGACATATAAATTCATGGTGCAGGGATTTCAACAACCTCGAACAAAGTCAGCACTTTTAAAATTCTTCATCATTTTATTTACCTTGTTAGCAAATTAAACTTAATATTAGGTATTTTGGCTGACGTTGATACCAATGGTCAACGGAATGTACAATATTCCAGATAAGTACATAGAGTACTCAGTAAACAGCAAGTGATGCTTGCGGTTCTAAGCACATGTTCCTACTTCTGGTAATACAGAGCGTTTACAACTTATTTCTGTTTGTAGGTTTTTGTGATCAATCTGACAATCACTGTCCATAATATTCACTGTCCATAATACTAAATGTCAATAATGTTCACCTATTACACTTTGATAAAATCAATATCCCAGAGTGAAAAAGATATCTAAGACCTTGTGTTGTCGTCTTTTGAGTTCACAGGGATACGAAGAAGCGACGTAAGAATGAACATAAACACATCCTTAGACTTATCTGATGTGAAATTTACGGTGTTTGCTGAGAAGTTTTGTGTTTAAAAGCAATGATTCAGAAAAGTTTCCTCAGGGATTAATTTTTCAAACATACGTTTAAAATAATTATCTGCTCTGCGAAGCCCCTTGAAGTGGGAAATGGCTTATAGTTTTGTATATTAAGTCAATTTTAACCTTACTGACCTTTCCATCTGCGTCTGTTGCTGTTATACTAGAGATGATAGTGGTTCCAATGGGGACGATTTCAGGAATCTGCATATTTGAAGGCATGGCTTGAATCACTGGAGGATAATTGTTGATGTCCTTTAAGATAATTTACATATTTCAAACTTCTAGAACCTTGTTGCAAAAATAAAAGTATTCGAAAGAATTTAAAGGTCACAGAGACAGATTTGAAGTTAATATTATCTCAAAATTTCTATATAATATCACGACTTATATGATAGCATTTCTCAAGAAAATATAATAAAAATCTTTTTTCATCTCAAAGTTATTGAAACGTCGAATTTCTGGACGGGTTTGATTGACATATTCTTAATACTTTAGAAAAGTGGCAATTTTGATGTTTATTAATGAAAATTCTGAGTAAAAATGTTGGAATGGAAAAGATTTAAAATCTTTATAAGTATAAAGTATTAAATCAGTCCGTGTTCAGAGGTGAGCGCAGACAAATCGGTGTCTATGCACCTTTAAAATGGCAGGGATGCAGTTTTCTTCTCAATTTTCATAGACATCATAGAAAATTTATTTAATATTTTTACTTTTTTTTGGTATGATAGTAAGCGAGACATAAAGATTTCATCGCCCTTGGAGAATCATATTTCTCGAGGGCAACACCCAAGGGCAATGTCACTGGCGCCCCCCCTTTTTTGATTCCAAAAAAATACACACATAAATCATTTTTTTTGAAGTGGCTGTGGGTCCCTACCCTGACCTCAAACTGGTCGGCCCCCTTTTGCAAAATTTCTGGATCCGCCACCACATGATAAGATCCAATGACAGAGTAAAGCTTTGATAATAACAATATAAAGAGATGTTAACTAAACCACTAGCCATGTGTCATAAAAAATCCTTCATGATATGTCAATGTGATTTACACTCTAGTTACATTATAAACCCATCCATGAAATTTCACGCGTTTGAATTGATTAACAATCAATTTACAATATAGTCAATGTAACTCAGTCGCAATCATCTCAGTAGCACCATTTTGACGTTACACCCGTTAATACAAAGTTTGTTACAAGGCAAACGAGACGGTCACTTGTCTCTCTCTCTGTCAAACAGATTATATTTTACTATTGATAAATTAAACAAAATATAATAATAAGATTTTGACAAAGGTATAACCGCGTTAAAATACCACAGTTCTACGACAATTAAGACAAATAAAGCCACTTACTATGGACACTTACGCATTCGATGTATAAAATAACTACTAGCAAATATAATAAGTCCGTAAGTTATTTTCATGAAAATAAAATATGATTTGTTTAATTTACCAAATAGGGATAGTTATTCTGGTAAATAATTTCTACAGATTTGTACAACGAATTGAATAAATTGTGACCTTTAATAATTTGAAAGTCAAGCTAAAAAAACCTCCATATTAAAGAGGCCTATCCTGAAAAAAGAAAGCGGAGTCCTTTTTATTAATCTTTGAAAAAATTTTCATAACTTTGTTTTATTTGTAGCTCAAAATGTTTACACCATACCTCTAGATTTATAGTGACTGTTGCTGTTGCAGACAAAGCATTGGAACCTTCTCCTTCAACTGTGGTCACTTGGAACACATAGCTATTTTTAGTCTCAAACTGGAGAAGTTGTTTGTTTGTAATCAGGCCGCTATTCTGGTTGATACTAAAGACACTGAATTCTCCTGCACTGAATTTGTAAGTGATCTGATCCACAACATCCTGGTCCAACGCCTACAAAATCAATAATGTTTTCGTCAAAAACCAAATACCCAATTACTAAAACAGGACAATTTCTGTTTGCTCAAAGCATAATGACATCATATTTATGTAATAGAATGAAACAATACAACAAAACCAGTATCCGTGATAATAATTGATTTGAATATAGTTAATATCAATGAATTAATAAATAAAATTACCATACCGTGACTTGCACTATAGATGTACCAATTGGCTGTCGTTCAGGAATAGAGCCGACAATGTTAGTCTCTGTAAACAAAGGAATGGTGTCTTGTACATCCTGAACATTAACAGTAACAGTAGCTGTTCCTGTTCTACTACTAGCTCCTCCATCAATGCCCAGAACCAGAATCACATGGGAAGTTCTTGTTTCGTAGTCTAGTGGAGTGGTTGTTCTTATTAGCCCAGATGGTAAAATGGTAAATCTGTGGGAAATTAGAAAATATTGCCTTATAGATATCTGTACCTCTGCTTTAATCAGCATTCAAAGAAAACTGATTATATTCATATTCTGAATGTTTCCTTTCTTTAAAAAGCAAAGATTATTGTACTTACAAACTAGAAGAACCAGTAGATGAAAAGGGTGATATTTGGTAATTGATGTTTGCATTTGCACCTTGGTCTGCATCTGTTGCCTACAAAATCAAAATGACTCAAAATGTTTGTTTTGGGTCAAGAGAAAATTATAATTGAATTAGAAACTAAGACATATAATGTTAGACTTTCCTTCAAAGGTGTTTACCAAAACAAACAATTGATTTAATGTAATACGACTGAGAGAGGACTTACTGTAACTGTTCCTACATCTTCATTTGATCTTCCCTCAAGTACAGAGAAGGTGTAAGAAGCGGGTGTAAAAATAGGATTGTTATCGTTGACATCTTGGATTATGATTGTCAAGGTTGTCTGTGCAGACTGAAAGTCAAAACACAAATAAGTTCTCAATATCTTTCTTAAGAATATGTAAATCACATTTTAGAATTGCTACTTTATCTTAAGCAATCCATTTTCAAGGGATATCTATTTTATTGGATCCTTAGAAAAATAATCGAATCACATTTTCTTACTTGTTAATGGAAATAATAAATTTTGTTTCTATTACTGAGAATCCCCCAAGGAAAATTTTTATTGGCTGTATTTCACTTACCAGTCCACTCTGATCCTGCACTCTAATGTTTAAAGTGTACTGAGGGGTGGCTTCTCTGTCCAGTGCTCTTTGTGATCTAACTTCTCCTCTGAAATAGCATATTCATATATACAACATTTCAAATCAGATCATTATAGTTATTATTATTATTTAATTTTCTGGCATTAAAGAAAGGTGGAAACACACTTACGTTGTCGAATTAATGCCAAAGTCATTGTTCATATTGCCTGAGATGATGGAGAATCTTAGTGGTAGTCCTTCTGGGTCCCTAGCCTGTAAAACAAAATAAATCAATAAAAAATATGAAAAATAAACTCAGCACTAATGGCTCTATAGCCTGTAAAACAATATAAAAGATGAATAATGCTACATCAACTTAACACAAATTTCCTTAGCATGTAAAACAACATAAAAAGATGAAATATAAGATATATGTATTAAAACAACACTGATCTATTGGCACTTTACTGGGGATTCCTTACAGATTGAATAATAGCAAAGAAATTAGAAAGATCAGAGGAAGATCTATACACGAGTGCAAAGTAAATTTTTAAGCAAACAGTCAAGCTTAACAATACAGTGAGGACTAATAGATGACTATAACAACTAATTTCTTCATTTAGCATCGGCAGTCTCCCAATTTCGTTCCTCCTTTTCTTACACAAAGCTAAAGTTATAGTTGGAATGTTAACCTGAGACATTTTCATGATCCTTCAGCAGTAAGAGTGTCATTCAAGATTTTAATTTATCATAGTAGAAAAAAAAACTATGGTGTTGAATAAATAAGGAAGA